AAAAAAAAAAAAAAAGAATAATCACACGCCAACTGAATTTAGTTTATGATCAAACTGCAAATTCAGATGTGGGTTCTTCCAATATTTTAATCTAAGATGAGCAAATGCTCCAATGCAACTGGAGCAACTGCACACATTTTAGACCAAAAAATTGTTTCTTTTAAAAAAAATAATAATTGTAGGAAGGAGATAAATCAATAGTTCAATATTCATAATGGGTATTTCTGATGTAATACTTACTGTAACATCCTGAAACTGAAGCTGCATGGTAGAACCTGCTGCTTTTGGGCAGCTTGTGATCTCCAAGATGGTTCTGAGTAATACATCTAGTAGACTGTTCACAATTACATCTATTTCTTCCAATACTGACTTATCCTTTGATTTGTTTAAAAAAGAAGAACAAAATCATACACATTGGTGTACTGAAAAATAAATGTAATAATCTCATTTTGCTATAAATCTAGTCATACTATTAATGGGAAGAATTAGATACTGCATGCTGGATGTACCAATTTAGGAGATATTTATTTAACCTTTCCATGCAAATACTTTCATGGAGAAAATCTATATGATTGCTAGGGGTCAAAACAACTGGATAATCAATCAATCAATGTAAATACTTATCAAACTGATTTATAAATTTTAAAAAAGCAATTAAAGAAATTGATTAAAATAGCAGAAAAATATAGTCATGAAGAAAATAAAAAATAAATAAAAGCAAAAGAATCATTCATGCAATATCCACATAGGGAAGACCTAGCTTTCATTAAGTACATAAAAGATAGAGTGTATCTCAAAAATTTTAAGCAGGGTAAGTATTCAAGATAATAGGTATCACTATGAAGAAGGCTTCCCTGTGGATATCTGAAATAATAGTGAGGTTCTTAGCCCAGAAAACAGTATCTCTCTTAATTATCTCAGTGAGCATTTTAATAATAAACTTTAGTCTTACTTCCCTTTGAAATAGACTTCTTAACAATTAAAAGCCCATTTTCTGTGATATTCCTTCTACTTACAGAACTATTTTTCTTAATGAAGCAAAATATGTTGCTAAGGATATGTGCACACATGATCAGATCCTTTTGTTCTTGCAGGTGCATATAAAGGTGATGCAAAACTACTGGTAGCAAAATATACCGGGACTCTGGAAGAGAAAATATATACAATGGACGCTGTCTTATTATGGCTATTGTTTCATTTATGCTTTAAAGTAACTGTAGAATAATTTTATGATCTAGTCTTTTCAGTGATTAAGGATGCAAACTGAACTATCAAAGGACTACATTTAGTTTTCACATTAACTCACAACCACAACTGAGATCAAAATTTCCATTGTAAAGCAAGACGGTTGTTAACTGAGTTGCACCCAATTTTACAACATTTTTTTGCTACAATTGTTTAGCAAATTATTGCAGTTGGTAAGTGAATCATGTGGCCGTTAAGCAAACCCAGCTGCTCCCATTGACTTTTCTTGTAAGCTGAAATGGAAAAAGCATTAATATTAACAGTTTCTTCACAATTTTAATTTCACTAACGTATTGCTAAAATACTATTCTATTTTAGTAAACTCCAGGTGAATATATTTCTTTTTAATGTGATGTACTATTCAGGCATAAATATTTTAATAATGAGAATATTGCCTGAATGAGTACATTCTTCAAAAGAAATTTGACTATTGTTTATTGTCTTTGGACTTAACTATGGAATATATTCAGTACCTTCAAAAAAACATTTATAAACATCTGAGTTTGAGTAAATGCAGTGAAAGTTAATGGGGAGCCATAAATCAATTTCGGCAGCAGGGCAAAGCCAACTTGGTATGGTACCACAGAACATCAAATGTTATACCCTGCAACTCTATGTGTCTCTACACTTCTGGCAAAGAAAACCCCAAAACATGTTCCTCTCCCCTTCAATACTATACAAGTCTGACTAGCAGATAAATAGCTTTAGAACAGAAAGATATTTCCCCCAAAGCTTTTTGATCAGTCTACAAATGTAGTCATCCACATGTGTCCATACATATTACTTCTACATGTATGTTTCTGCACTCTGTATTGAATCTGTATCCCTGAGATGAGCATAGGGAAGGCTGTGTGTGCTCCATTTTAGGTCTTATGAACAGAAAAGAGAAGGAAAGCAGTTCAGAAGTTGGAAGCATTCTGAGATGTGCTCCATTAGGGCTGCACAGATAAAAAAATTTCCTGTACTTTTTTTATTCATAGTACCTGGCCAAATGTGACTGCTTTTATTTGTCCTGGCTTCTCTCACCATACCAAATTTGGTTCCTTTCTGTTTGGAGAGTTATCTTTCTGACAGACAGCCAGGAAGACAGAGCCCCAAGACTGCCTGCCTGCCTGCCTGCCTGCCTGCCTGCCTATCTATCATATCTGTATAGCTGCCACCTCATATGAAAGTAACTCTGGGCAGCTTACAACACTTAAATAATTGGACTGCTGAACTTCTGGTCCTGCAAAAAGTGATTCAAGGGATTCACCATCCCTACTTTGGTGTAAAGTCCAAATGTTATTAATTTTTATCTGTTTTATACACAATCAGCATGTGTCAGGAACTATTTCAATATTAATTAGGAATGGTATTTGCTTTTCTACCTGGATTGCTATACAATTGGCTTTCCACTGTTTTCCCAATGCACTGAAGTTTTACTGCTTGAAGAGAATCATCCGCATTTGTAATGATTGGCAAGCTCCCTAGAGTATCACGCACCAAATTTGCTACTTCTCTCACATCAAAGAGCTTTAACAATTCTGAATACACAGCTGGGAAGGAACTGAGAAAGATTGCCTGGGAACAAACCAAGAAAAAGTTAAGTATATTACAAATCTTCAAACAGAAAAAGGAATTTAATCTTTATTTGAATTTAATTGTAAAAATTATAATTTTTCTCTTTTCCAAGAAAACAGATATTTAAAATTTGCTCTTAATAGTTTTAATCTGTTCCAAAGGAAAAAAAGAATATAAATAATATTATTATGAATTAATTTGCAGTTTTAAATGAATATGAGAAATCCAAGGACTATAGTGAAAATAGAGAAGGACTAGAATTAAAAAACAAAACAAAAAAATAACTGCAAAAGCTGCATCTGAATCATGGAAAACAACTGGAAACAAAAAATTCTATAGCTTGTTAATTTAGCCAAAAGCTTCATACAGAAAAACAGTACTGTCAGATGTTTAATCCAACTTTTGTTACCAATATGTGAATGTCATTACAGCTGAAAATAGATCAGAAACATTAACATATCACATTTAAACACTGACTATGTTTTTATACTTCAGTTACAATGCACAGAAGCAATGTGAAAAACAGAAGTAATCATGTAAGGCAGTATTTTTGCACAACTTACTTGGGCTTGAGATAAAGCATTGATTCCTTTAGTTTCTTGGGAAAGGAAAAATCGTACTGACATCAAAAGCTCTTGAATACAACAGCAGAATTCCTCCTCATTTTGTCCACCAGTAGCAAGAGAGAATAGCTTCCGAGACTGAACTATATATTTAAATATATATTCTTGGGCCTATAGAATAAAATGTGTGATTTTATATCATTCCCTCTTATAAATAATAAATATTTTTCTAAGAGCACTAGTTAAATAGTATATAGCCTAAAATATAAAATGGATAGCTCATATCACAAAAGGGCAACTTTCCATATTCACTCTTTGCTAAATTCGTTGATTTTTTTTAATGTTCAGTCTTTCTAAATTAAGGGGAATTGAAAGCCAGTGTCAGCCTCGTCATCATTGCTTTACTTCAAGCTTACTGCCAGCTGCCATGGAAACAATGGGGAGGGGGAAGCATTGAATATTTGGGAGGGGAAGCATACAAGAGGTGAAACTGGAATTTCTGAGAAGCAATGGGAAGGCCTGGACTCAGAGAGGTCAGCTTGGGTTGTTTAACATCTTCAAGGCCAACTGCCCTGGGATCAGCATGCATGAAGGAGGAGCGATGCATCTGGATCACAGACTTCCCAAAACATCTTCCTGGCTGATGATTGAACACTGGTTGCCTGGCTACTGGGGGGTGGGCTCTGGGGTTAGTTTCAATTTGTTTCTTCGCACACGTTTTGCTTCAGACCTTGCATTCAGTTCTTTCCTAGTAAAAGTATCCTTTCTCTGAATCTATGAAGTCAATTCTTTTCTTTCCTAGGGATTGTTCAGAGGCAGTCCTGACATTAGGCAAGGTCTGCTTTAACAGTCAACCCGGAGACTGCAGTCTATCATGGGGACCGAGCATCTAAATGTCCAGCCACGAGAGTGAACTGGAAGAGACCGGAGCTCCAGGTGGATCAAACAATATTAACAATTATATTAAATTAGCTTCTTCAACCTGCTCCTAGTCAGATATGTCAGATAAATGGAGCCACGCTAACAAGAAATTATAGAAACTGTAATCTAGGAAAAGCCTCTGAATGGAAGCAGGTTAGACAAAGCTAATTGAGATTACTCCATCTGTTTCAGTTTTATTACCTTTAATACTTCCTGATTGTGTGCTTGCCTTTCTACTTCAGTAAATCGGTCAACATGCCACTTCAATACTTTTATGAGATCTCTAAAATATAAAACAAAACTTACAAGTCTTAATTAATTGTTAAGTAGCCTAATAACTGACGTGAATAATAATTCATAATTTGATCAGTACATATATCTACTGAAAATTAAGCCTCAATAAGCTACTTCCAGAGAAATGAGCAATTATGCAAAACAATTCAAATAAAATGTCATTGAAAAGAAACCTATTCAGTGGATAATCTTCTGTATTTAAATTGTTGAATTATGAATATAGAGAATAGGACATTATTATTGGCATATATATTCACAAATCTAATAAAGTTTGGATTTCTTTTAAGATACTAATATTTCTTGCTTTCTAGATAGGAAGGAAAGTTAATTAGCCAACCTCATTGTAGTATGTGCAAGGTTTTCATCTCCAAATCTTAGAAACTCAAACATCCTCGATAAACTTTGCTCTCACAATCTGAATAGGACATGATTCCCCTCACTCAGTATTTTCATTTAATATAATATTATAATATGATATAATGTAAAATAATAACATAACATAACATAACATAACATAACATAACATAACATAACATAACATAACATAACATAACATAACATAACATAGCCTTGAACCGGGGCAGACATTAGAACAGCTATACTGTATATACCTTTCATATAAAATAATACTTTATCCTGAAACAATGTGGGCCAATAATCTGATTTGGTATACAGTAGATATTTGTTTAATGATTATGCTCCATTAGCTATGAAAATTTGCACACATTTCTAGAGAGAACATTTCAATTAATACAATATTGGGTTCAATGAAAGATCTTACATGGAAATAAAGGGAGAGATTCTCAAGATCCTTGAGAATTGCATCAGATCATTAATTCTGAAGGAGGCAAATTAAACCAAACAAAGCAGACCAAGTGAAGATATGGAGAAGAAAATATATATTTCACTGTCGCAGCTTAGGTATACAGGTAGTCCTTGACATATGAACATAATGGAACTTTACACTTGTGGTCATTAGTTATAACAGTTGTAAAGAGTGTCATCATGTGACTGACCCAATTTTATGACCCTTTTTGTGGCAGTCATTAAACTAATGTGGCGGTCATAAAGCAGGTATGGCAGTCATTAAGCAAATCCTTTGTTTGCTATGAGGCAATTTTGCCAAGTATACAAAATGCAATCACATGAATGCAGGTGGTGCGTTTATAGGAACTTCGTATCTGGATCCTAACTACTTTGGAAGAGATCTGTTGTAAAATGGTTACTACAGTAAATGACCAACCGTAAGTCAAGCACTACCTGTAACAATCATAGCCCATTAAAGTATAAGACCATAAATGGTCGAGTGCTTATTAGTACAGCACAGCAGTTCAAAGGCAAAAATGTCCTGCACCACACATGGAATACAAATGCAGTACCTTTCCACAACTCCTTAAAAGCAGCCACAACTTTTTATAGCTTCCAACAGGTATTTTCTACAGTTGCTGTATGATGTTTAAGACAGACACCTTGTGAGCATTACCCAAATCCAAGCCTCCAAATTCAAAATGTTGCACTGGCCTAGTAACTAAATTCTTTCCTTGATCCTTCATCGTCCCTTTTGTACTCTCAGATTTGTGTTCTGAATTTACTCATTCATATTCAAACCATGTGGTTTAAGGGCTATTAATAAATCTTTTGAGAATTAGGGGAAAACTGCTTAGAATCCTAGAATCATAGGGCTGGAAGGGACTTTGGAGATCTTCTAGTCCAACCTACTTCCCAAGGCAGGAGATATTATATCATCCCAGATAAATGGCTGTCCAATTTTCTTAAAAAATTCTATTTCATTGATTCATTGTTCTGTAAGGAAATTTCTCCTTAGTTCCAGTTTGGATCTCTCTTTAACAATCTTCCACCCATTGCTTCTTATTGTGCCCTCAGATGCTTTGACGAATAAATCCACCACCTCTTCTCTGTTTGAATTTGGTTTAATATTAAGCATTTTCCAAACTCAGAAAACAGTTAAAGATACATACAGTATGAACTTAGGTTTATAAAAAGCAAAATAATTATATGTCAGATGATTTAGTATTGATAACCAAATGTAATAGCTCAGATCAATTTTTACAACAAAGTACGATTAATTTAAAATATCAGTTTATCACACTTTGGTTTTAACCATGGAGACTGCAACACATTGGAACTAAAGTTGCTGACAACTGCCAATCATCTGATTGCAGCTATATTCAAAGCATTGAAACCTTTCTACCTGTAAGCAAGAGCTCCTGCAAAATGACTTTGAATGTAGGTATCCATAACTGGCCTAAAATGATGAAACTTGCTGTCCTGCAGTAAATTAATTATGTGAACCTATGAAAAAAAATGCATATTAGTTTATTTTAGCCAATTTCAAAAATCAAAACAAACACAATGAGTATGTAATAAAGTATGCCTTACCAAACAGTCAAATACTTGAGAGCCATACTTTTGAGAATTTTCATCTAAAATCCCAAATAAAGTGTCTAGTGTATCTTGGAGAAACTAGGTGAAGGAAAAGAAATTTAAGAACTATATCCTTTGAAAATGTTACTCTTATATTTTATCGTGGTGAGAAAAATAAACAGTGCCAATTGTATTCACCTTCACTATTTCAGAACCATCAATTTCTTTCAGTTTTGAGAGGCAACCTGCAATTTTTTCTGGATGAGCTCGCCATTTAAGAAGGTCAAGCATATCTCCTACAAAATAAAGTTTAGCAAAAATACAGTTATAAGCAAACAATTTACTGCAAGGGTGTCAAACTCACAATGTCACTTGATGTGTTGTGACCTATCGCGACTTTTTTGCCATTGCCGGCAATGTGGTGGACATGGTTTCGCTATGATGCATCCGGTCTGTGGGCCGGCAGTTTGACACCCGTGATTTACTGTATATACATTAATTTACGAAATAGCCAAAAGAAAAAGATGATACTGTATATCTAAATTCCCTTAAGTCAAGCCCAAGTTTTAAGCTGCAAATATGTACATGCTATCAAAAAAATTATGGCACCTGAAATGTAACATTCATTTTATTCACTGTAATTCCCTAAGAATATAATGCATTTTACTTCTGAGAGGAGAAATAGAATTGCACTGTTAAACATGAAACTGTATTTTGCTCCATTTATTTAAATTTGTGTCATGCATTATATTCAATGCCAAAATTTTAATAATACTCCTCAGAAGTCCTCATATTTCTCACAATATTTTATCATTTTGGACAATAAACTGAAGAACACAGTAAGGGCATTTTTTTAAACCAGAAAGGATCAAATGGTAATTTTAAAAAATAATCCATAGATATGCTTCTTAAAAAATATTGTCACATTAAAACTGTTAAATTTTTAATCTGCTTCCAAACAGATCCACAGATAATTTATTCTTCTATTGAGCCAATCAATAGTTTATTACAGAGGTCCCCAACCTTTTGGGCACCAGGGACCGGTTCCACAGAGAAAGGTTCTTCTGTGGACCAGAGAGTGATGGTTTTGTGTGCTGCCTGCATCCCATGGATGGGGCTTTGCTTGTTTGTGCAGACCGGTTGCTGGCATGCAGTGGCCCGGTACCAGTCCACGGACCGGGGGTTGGGGACCCCTGGTTTATTAGGTATGTTTGGCATCAATATTGCTAATATTAAATTATAAAACATGTTTGTATTACTGTATTATGCCTGCGAATAAGCTTATCCATGAATAAGCCAACCGTCAAATTTTTAACCAAAATATCATGAAAATTGCACAACCTGTGGATAAACTGACCCAGTTCATGTATTTTCATTTAAAAAAGTGAGGGTCTGCTAAACCACAGATGTGTTTACGTATAAGTATATATGGGAAATAGAAGTACTAAGAAAGTATTACTGTTTATAGCATGGACAAATCCATTTGTGGAACCTGATTTGGGGGTCTATTTTGGCACTTAAAATTCTTGACTTATCCACAAGTATATACAGTATACTTATATTAATAAGCTCATCTACTATACTGTATTATGCATTATACTTTACCATTTTGTGTGAGTTTAGTTGAACACAGGAAAGATGTAATCCAGAAAGATTCTTTAGTAGATTTAATTGCTTGGTGGTTGTTTGCAAGGAGATGCCCTTTTGAAAAGGGAAATTTGAGGTAGCGACTAGAATCCTGAACGGTTATATTTTCTTCACACTGAGAGAACAATTAAATTTGCATTTTAACTCACTACATCTAATGAAATAAAGTGCAGCATAGAACTGTCACCTAAAGCCATTAGAAAAACAATCTGCACTGCTAATCAACTATCTTTTCTAATATTTTCTTCCTATGTACTTTCTAGGTAACTTCATTGTTTGCTATGCTTTTAGGATACTTACTGTAACTACTGATAATATTTGTTATCTATATTTACTTCCCATGCTCTAAAATTTCCACATCCCTCATGTCCCAAGTTTGATATCTACAGAACAGATATTCACCTTTTTCCTCACTTGTGAGAGCCAGATTGATGTATGCCCATGTATACATGTGTAATAGAAAGAACTAGCAACATAAGTTGGAAAGGATATGATGAAAGGTTATGTTACACAATGACAAATCTAGCATTCTTCTGACAGTTGAATCAATCTAAGTTTTTTTCTGAATAAGCTATGTTTTTTCTGACTTCTTTTTGAAAATACCTTATGCACAATGAGCTCATGAATGCCATCTGGCAAGGTCCTTCCATTTTCCTGCATCAGAGGGACGAAAGAAAAACCAAACAACTTCTTCTCTCCCTTCTCTTTTGCTGAAACACACATATATATTAAAAATACACCACATTCTAAGCTAGGAATGAAAGTTCATAAATGAAAATAACATAAAATTGCATACATATTTGCAACTAAAGGCCAGAGTGCTATATAATCAATCAAATGTACAGATATATTAATCACGCAATACAATTAAGAGATTGTCAGTTTGAGTTCCATTGACTTCAATTAAATTCAAGATTTCTACCATCAGCATGAGAACCCAATTGGTGTGGCCAGCTGGAGGACCTTGGGCCAGTCACTCTCTATCTCAGCCCTAGCAAGAAGAAAGTGAGGGCAAATCAATTTTACAAATCTGGAAGGATACTTATCCAGATCACACAATTATACCTATAATTTAATGAATAGCGATAGTAATAGCACTTAGACTTATATATTGCTTCACAGTGCTTTACAGCACTCTCTAAGTGGTTTACAGAGTCAGCATATTGCCCCCAATAATATGGGTCCTCATTTTACCAACCTCCGAAGGATGGAAGGCTGAGTCAACCTTGAGCCAGTGAGAATCGAACTGCCAAATTGCTGGCCGCCGGCAGACAGCAGAATTAGCCTGCAAAACTGCATTCTAACGACTGTGCCACCATGGCCCATCTTGTTTCTACATGCATAAGATAGCCTCAGGAGAAGTTATTTAATGTTAGAATGCATAGGAAAAACACACTGCTATTAAATTAAATATGTTAATATTTATATCCACAATCTTTTTCATTAAAAAGATACATTAAAAGTATAATGGCCAACTAAAAATTTAGGTATTCAGTTCACTAAAATAATTAAATGGTCCTAGTAGCATAGGGGATTCTATACAAAACCTTGTGACTTTAGGAAATAAAAGAGATTGAAAAGGAAAAGAAAGGTAAATCCCCAACCATTTCCATCCACTAAAAATCAAAAGGATTTTTTTTTAAAGAAAAGAAGCCATGATTTTCTAACAACTCATTTTGCATCTTCCTTTTGGCAACATTTTTCTCTTTTCTGAATTAAACTGCCAAGAGATTCTAATCCAATATCAGTGACTCTTCCATTTCTCTTTCAATCTACAACCAGTTGTAAGTGTGAACAGGTTGCCAAGCATCCTTTATGTGACTGCCAGGAGATGCACAGCATTTTACAACAGATAGAAGCACTCTTTCCAAGGCCATTGTAGCTTCCAACAGTCATTAAACAACCAGTTGTAAGTTTGGGACTATCTGTACATTTGCCTCTTGGATCATTAGTGTTTAAAAGCATAATTAATCTTCAGTTACAGACGACCATACAGTTTTACAGAATATTCTAATGCAAAGCTGCTGTTTTCAGTGCGTACTTGATTTTTTTTATTGTGATGCTTGTATGAGAGCCTTTCCTATACTAGCTCTCATTTATAAGGTGGCAACCAGCAAGTACAAAGATCATTTGAAAAAATGTAGATTGTAATTTCAAAGCACTACCACTTCTGAATAGGTCTTACTGGAACAGTGGCGGAATTCAAACCGAAGGTGTGCTCCCCGGAATTTATCCACTGGAATAGGTAGTTTCAGCAGCTCAGCCCATCTGGGACTGTTGTTATGATACAACACAAAAGAATGGAATTCAGAGGCTGGTGGCTCTCCAGAGCCGAAGGAGATAAAATCCTTAAAAAGAAAGCATTTTAAAAAACCAAATTACTTCAGTTGTACAATCAATGGTCAGTATCTTGAAAGATTTACAGTAAACAGAACAAAACATTTTGTTTTCCACTGACTTTTGGAAGGCACAAGCAGGGGCTAAGACAGAGAATGAGGTAAGCTTAATTTACATACCAGCAAGGGCAGGAAACATGTTTATTGCTCACTCAGTAAAAAAAGCATGAAGGGAATCCTTTATCATGGTCCATGGTGTTATCTCATTCATCAACCTACTGTCCCCAATATTTCCTTTGTGCATGGACATGTATTATAACATTTTCAGTGTTTCTCATTTTTCTCATTTTACATTTATTTTGCCTTAATATCAGTCTGCAACTTTAGTATTAGATTTATTGCAAGTTATTGCATTGCTATATTTTATATGTATTTTTTATGCAAAGGAATTCTGTAAACATTTTATATCAGGTTTTCCAATTGTCATGGGGAAGCATATATATTCATTCATTCACTCATTCATTTGTTCAATCAATATACATAACCACCCACCTTACACACTCGCTTTATGATGATTCTGGGTATTTCTCTGAAAATCACTATACCAAAATAAGTTTTTTTTTTCATTTATTCAAAGTACCAATAAGGCAAACTCAAGAAACCAGCAAATCCTTTTGTGTGTGAATGAGAGAAAGAGTAATTTGTCTAATATAATTCCTTCTCAACAGTGTATCAAGGTTCCGTCTGATGATCCCAATGAAGTAAGCACATCTGAGACATTCCAATCTCTAATGCAAAACTTTATTGAGTACAGTATATTGGCACTGATGAGTAGAAAGCCAGCTCTTGTTAAACTGGCGACAGAACAGTAAATTAAAAGTATAGAAACTCCCCTTTCCCCTGACAGTGCAAGTCACATTCCCCAATTAAACATCAGACAATCGTTATGAGAGAAATCTTTTGTTACTTCATAAATAATCCAAATGACCTTGATTCCCAGACTTCACAGCTCACAGCTGCAAATGCACATTCCATTCATCTCCCTTCCCCCTGGGTCTGTTAGCAAGCTAAGAAACAACAATAAAGTTTCTTTGAAGCTTAATAGGCTGGCTCCCTAGAAAATGGAAGGAACCTGAAAAACAATAAGCACACATTACTTCTCTTGTGAGGATCCTGGTTTCTGGGGGTACTTATTATGGAATTTCTCTACTAATCGATCTGCCTTAATGTTAGGGGCTTTTTTCCATCTAGCCTCTGAGATTGGATAACCCTTCCACTGGATTAAGTACTGTAACTTCCCCTTGTGGATCCTAGAGTCTAGGATCCACTTTACTTCATAGTGTGTCTTGCCCCCACCATTATCAGACCAGGGGCTTCTCTCTCAACTGGCCTCATCCTAGAACCCTCAAAATGGCTTCAGTAAGCTGCAGTCAAACACCAGCTGTACCTTACCCAATATTTTGAGCAGTTTTAACTCTACTGTAACTGGATTGATGACTTTTACAATAGGAAAAGGCCACATGTACTTTGGACTTAGCTTTTTGCAAGATTGTCTCAACTTTAGATACTTTGTAGACAGATACATTTTATCTCCTACGTGGAATGTCCCTTGGGGACCTTGCTTTTTATCTGCGTGTTTCTTCTGGCTCTCTGTTGCTTTGGTTAAAACTTTCTTTACATTGCTCCAGACACTCTGAAATGAATTTACCCAACAGTTAAAGTGCCCGAGGAGGTAGGCTCCTGAGGGCATTCTGGCATAGGTGCAAATTCTAACCCCATGGCTACTTTGAAAGAGGTGAAACCTGTGCTACTGTGTATCACATTATTATATGCCACCTCAATGAACAGCAGGAGCCCTGCCCAGTTAGACTGCTGGTAATTTACATAACAATGCAGGTACTGTTCCACCTTTGCATTGGCTTGTTCTGAAGCCCCATTCGTACTCGGATAAAAAAACTGAATTAACCCTCTGGGATGACCCAATCATCCTTATAAACTCCTGCCAGAACCTAGCAGTGAACTGGACCCCTCGGTCTGAAATGATGCACTTGGGCACCCCATGCAGTCAGTAAATGTGCTGAAGAAACATCTTTGCTAGCTTCTGGGTGGAGGGGAGTCCAGGGCATGTGACAAAATGGCCTTGCTTGGAGAACAGGTCCATGACAATCCAAATCACGGTGTTCCCCCCACTCTCAGGTAGTTCCACAATGAAGTCCATGGCTATCTCCTCCCAGGCTCTGGTCAGATTGGCAACCTGCTGCAACAACCCCTGGCTCTTTCCTGGCATCCTCATACTGGCTGCACATACAGCACAGCTTTTCACGTAGCTCTCAATATTATTTTTCATCTTTGGACACCAGAACTGATGGTTGGCTATATGTAAAATCTTTAGGAATCCAAGTGGCCAGCTTGTCTGGTATCGTGGCTACGTTGCAAAACTTATAGCTGCAAGTTGTCTGGGACATACAGCTTGTCCCCCTTCCACGCCAACCCCTGCCTCAAGGTCAGTTCTTTTTTATGAGCCCTAAACCACGTAACAATTTGTAGCTCCTGTTTCAGTTGCTGGGCAAAAACACCGGTAGGAGGTGAGCCCTTTTTCTTCTCTTGCTGCCTGATGGTGGGTTGCACCACCTGCTGCCTCGTAGGGATGATGGAGTCCACCTCCTCCTCCTCCTCTTATACTGAGGCATACAGGACAAGGCATCTGCCAGGAAATTCTCTCCCCCCCCCCCGGATGTACTTCAACTCAAAATCAAACCGGTTGAAATACTGAACCCACCGGACTTGCTTGGGGAAAGTGGGGTTCAAAGCCTCCAAATTTTTATGGTCAGTCCACACCTCAAATGGGATTTTATTCCCCTCCAGGAATTGCCTCCAGGTTAAAAGCGCCCTCCGCATTGCAAAGACTTCCTTTTCCCACATGGCCCACCATCTCTTGGTCTCATTGTTTTCGAGATATGTATGCGCACGGTTGCAGCTTTCCCTCTTGGTTTCGATGGAGGAGGACCACTCTAATGGCCACATTGCTGGCATCTGCTTGAATTACAAATAGCTCCTCTGGATTTGGGTGTTTTAAAACTGGCTCAGCCATGAACAGCCCTTTCAATTTTTCAAATGCCGCTTGGTATTCCATTGTCCAGTTCAAGAACTGGTTCAGCCAGGGCTTCTCTCCCCCTCCTCCCATTTTCAATAGTCCTGTAATGGGCAGGATAATCTTGGCGAAGGAGGGGATGAATTGCCTTTAAAGGTTTGCAAACCCCAAGAAGCTCTATAGCTGCTTGTAGGTCCAAGGAGCTTGACATTCCAAGATGGATTGCACTTTCCCTGGGTCC